GGCATCCTGCGAATGAGAAAGAACTACTGATAGAAATAACCAACTGACCAAAGAGGCTAAAGGAAAACAACTAAATAGGAAAAAGCTATCTTCACCAAAGCTTTTCTGAAATGCAGTCTTTGGAGACGTACTGGCCCAACACCTTCCCCACCCCAACCCTTTCATATCTCCCGAGCGGACCATTCTTCTGTGTAACAATGATGCAGTAGGTGGGTATCCCCTTCCGATTGACTTCGGCCCCAACAACAACACAGTTGCAGTCTTCAAACTCAATCTGATCTGCCATGTCAACCCATAAATAACCTATCTCCTCCATCTCCTTCAATATAAGATACTTCCCCTCCTTGCTTTCCACTCGGCAACCTGCACTAAAGCTCCTGAATTTCACATCCAGTGCCCTTCCATGTTCGGCAAAATCGAGATCTTCGGGGCGTGGAACGATAATATCAAGAAACTCGAATGTAATCCAAAAATCGCTTGGTTGTATGAGAAAATCGATGCCTCCAGAATAGGCCATCCAAGACCATGATGGCACTTGGTGCTGATCCTTGTACTGAATTCGCCCTCCATTCTGCTCAGTCCGCTTCCACGAAAGAAGAAGAGCGAGAAATAAGCGGGAAATTCCGTAGTGTATTGTGGTATTCAGCGCCTTCTCCATCCACATAACTAGACTGTGAATCGCAATGGCTCTGTCGGTTTCTTGGGTGATACTAGACGCCGAATACTTGCTTAACAGAAACTGAAGGAATTTGAGAGTCACGGTATTCCCACACGACTGAAGTCTTTTTGGAAACTGAGGGTCAAGGATAAAAAACTGCTTCGCCCTCGGCCTATACACTGTAAGAGTCTGGTTTACAAAAAGTAAGGGTTATTGATCAGACTTACGGGTCAAACTTCACAAGCCCTTCACATATTACCCCCTCCCCACATTCGCAATATATATGCGCTGTTGTAAAATGAATGGTTCGCCGGGACAGCACTCGTTCTTGGAGAACCCAAGCCCTTTGCATGAGAGGTCCTTCATCAACGTCTTTGCTGAAATCACAGTTGCATCGGTCCGGGAAGGAGGTGGACGTATCCTGTGCGGGAATCTTTGGTTGACTCGATCGCGGCGTGAGAAACCCATCTTTCCAGCTAGGCGCTGAAGTTGCTGCAATGGTACAGTAGCCATTGGCGAAGATGTCTTCCATGGTCTTAGCTTGGGTCTCCCAGTCGCCACCCGGTCCTTGAATAATGCAGAGAGAATCGATCCAGAGATATTGTTTCCCAAGTGCTCGAGTAACTTGAACCGCGTCCTGAAAGGTCTTTGGTAAGTCCCGATAAGGGAAGCCTTCCAGACGATCAGAGTAGTTGCCTGGAGTAGTGCAGAACTGGGATATTTCTGCTTCTGTAGGATTGCCCCAGCGGTGTGATAAGACAACGTATTCTTCATCCGAAGATTCTTGTTCGACGAGAGTTATTTTTCCTGAGTCTAGGTCACCAATGAAGATAACTCTTTTCGGCCAAAACATGGCTCTGTTTCGGACGCATTCAAAGTGATGAATGTCACAGTGATGAAGCCACAAGCTCAGGAATGAAAAATTCGCGCTCGTTGTCAGAGAATCAGAGGAGTGGTCGTTAACAAGAATGTCAGATGAGGTTTCTTTGCGAAATTTCACAGCGAATTGGTTCTTGTACTTTCGCCATTCCTGCTCGAGCCAGATGTGAATCAGCTAAATGTGTGAAGGAATCGCAGGTAAACACTCACATTCTACACCGTGACGCACACCCGGCTTAATAAGTGATATTGTCATCTTGGTTCTCATAAAGCATCCACTAACCTCCTACACCACCACAAATCTAGGTCAGTAAACAATAAATCCTACCTCAGTCGTTGTTAGGGAAGCCACTTACTCGCTACACCACCACATACACCCAGGTCAGTAAACAATAAATACTACCTCAGTCGTTGTTAGGGAAGCCACTTACTTGCTAGACCACCACATACACCCAGGTCAGTAAGAAATAATACTATTTCAGGTCTCTTCAAAGAAAGCCACTCACTTGCTACACCATTACAAACACCCAGGTCAGTAAATAATAAATATTATCTCAGCTCTCTTCAAAGGAAGCCACTTACAACCTACAGCATTATAAACACCCAGATCAGTAAGCAACAAATACTATCTTAGCTGTCTTCAAAGAAAGCCACTTACTTGCTACATCATTACAAACACCTACGTCAGTACGCAATAAATACTATCTTAGCTCTCTTCAACGGAAGCCACTTACACCCTATACCACTATTAGTAACACTATCCCGGCTCTCTTCAACGGAAACAACTTACAAACTATGCCACCATTAGTAAGACTATCCCAGCTCTCTTTAACGGAAGCCACTTACAGCCTATACCACTATTAATAAGACTATCCCAGCTCTCTTCAACGGAAGCCACTTACCAACTATACCACTATTAGTAAGACTATCCCGGCTCTCTTCAACGGAAGCCACTTACATCCTATACCATTATTAGTAAGACTATCCCGGCTCTTCAACGGAAACTACTTACACCCTATACCACTATTAGTAAGACTATCCCGGCTCTCTTCAACGGAAGCCACTTACACCCTATATCACTATTAGTAAGACTATCCCGGCTCTCTTCAACGGAAACAACTTACAACCTATACCACCATCAGTAAGACTATCCCGGCTCTCTTCAACGGAAGCCACTTACTAACTATGCCACTATTAGTAAGACTATCCCGGCTCTCTTCAACGGAAGCCACTTACAGCCTATACCACTATTAGTAAGACTATCCCAGCTCTCTTCAACGGAAACAACTTACAAACTATACCATCATCAGTAAGACTATCCCGGCTCCCTTCAATGGAAGCCACTTACCAGCTATACTACTATTAGTAAGACTATCCCGGCTCTCTTCAACGGAAGCCACTTACACCCTATACCACTATTAGTAAGACTATCCCGGCTCTCTTCAACGGAAGCCACTTACCAACTATGCCACTATTAGTAAGACTATCCGGCTCTCTTTAACGGAAGCCACTTACACCCTATACTACTATTAGTAAGACTATCCCGGCTCTCTTCAACGGAAACAACTTACAAACTACACTACCATCAGTAAGATTATCCCGCCTCTCTTCAACGGTAGTCACTTACAGGCTACACCCACAGACACCCAGGTCAGGAAATAATTACTATCAGCTCTCTTAGGGTATCTACTTACTCTCTAAAACACTCACGCGCACCCAGGTTAGTAAGTAGTTAATAGTTAGCAATTCAGTTTCCTTCTAGGTATTTACTTACTTCCTACACCATTACACACACACAAGTCAGGAATAATTACTGTCCACTCTCATGAAGGCATCTACTTACAACCTACACCATTACATACTCCCAGGTCAGTAAGTGATAAGTACCATTTCAGCTCCTGTGAGGGCATCCACTTACGTCAACCTGCACCATAGACACCCTGGTCAGCAACAAGCGCTTCAAGCCTCGGCTTCCAGACATTATTCTCGAAACGCAGCTGTGATTTTGTGTCGTAATGCGGATTTATTCAAGAATACATACCTCCTGTATCAAGGTTAGACATCATATCATAGAGTTCAGAGTTGGTATCATCTCTCACAACAAAGTTTTCATGGATCTCAGGCCCATCCTGAGATTGCGAACCTTGAGAAGACATCGAGTCCACGGCGTTGCTCATCTGGCGCTGTCATGCCCTTGTTAGCTTTTCTTCTTCTACGCTTTCCAGAGCGGGAATCGTTGCGGGGTGGCTGTTGAAATGGTGATGATGCCAGTTGATGTCAAATATTGTTGCCAACTTTCACGTCGAAGTTTATCCCTGGAATGAATGAAGCGCAGAGTTCCCAGGGCAACTTTGGACTTTTGGGGCCGCAATTTTAGAAATCAGAAGAAATCCAATGCCTGATACCCCGCTTCTTGGCATCTCAGTGAAAAGACATACTTTTTTGGCCAATTGAACTTCAAGGCAGGCCGTTATCAGATATTTGGCAGTGTCAGGCAGACGGAAGGCGCTCAGCTGAACATTGAAAATCAATGTCTTTGTGATTTAATTTGATCAAATTCTGCACATGGTAAAAGAAAGAGCAGTTTTAATTTGTTAGATAATTCCTGCGTGGGTTTTGGCTACGTTCGACCATGACTTATTCTGCATTTTACCATTATTAGTAAGGATGCCTTTCAGAAGTCCTGAACACCAAATCAAAATTATTTAGCATTTCTCTTGTAAATGTAATACGGTTGACCAGCTGATACTTTAGCAGAGGGATTCCTGGGCAATTCTTCAACGATGTTCTGTGTTTTGATCATTTTTTTTTTGACTCCATTCCCATGTCTTGGCAATCCACATCCATTTCTCTCCCAGGAAAAAAAAATTGACGCACAATTAGCAGCAAGGCAAATACTTGCAAAAGATGACATCTCCCGTCCAAGCGCAACGCCCCTTATTTTGCCCTGTATGCTATTCACCAATTCGAGAGAAGGAAGCCCAACTCCCGACATCTTTCTTCTAATTGACTGGTTGGACGCCGCTGTGTTTTTGTGGGTCGTGAGAACTGCGTGTCATTTGTTGCCAGAAGAGAGCAACCGAAGATTTGCTAACTACGGCCAATATTTAGAAATACCTTCCATTTCGCTCTTTTTTGAGTTTGGCAGCAAATGTTTTTGGAATACTTTCTCCCACGCCGCTCTGATGGGGTCAATCTTGTTAATCTCTTCCTGTGGTGGTTTGTCCCAGAGTTCTGGTGGTCCGTGAGAATTTGCCAAGCCAGGACGAGCCAAGCAACCACCCACGGCCCCTCATTCCTCCCCTTTCCCAAGCCTCTGGCGGACTTCTCCATCCCAAGGTTCAGCCCCCCGCATTTCTCGCTCCACTCAATCGCGTCCAATTGGTTTCACAATGACTTTATAGGGCGCAAATTGGCCACCGAATCTCCAACAAAGGATTCCCCTTTCCAGGGTCGGAAGTCATCCGGTATAGTGTAACGGTTAACATATCGCGTTTTCACCGCGAAGCTCGGGGTTCGATTCCCCGTACCGGAGTTTTGCTGGTCAGGAGGAGGCATCACGATCGAGGGGTTGTGGTGTTGAGCTGATTTTTTTTGGCAAAATTTTGCTTGTTTTTGGTGGAAACCGGGCGATATGCGGCATTTTCTCACACGGCCCTTGAAATTTTATGCAGTTTTATGCATTTGCTTGGCAATTTTATGAACGAGAAAAGTCCTTGGATGGTCCGAGGGGGGTTTCATGGATTTTTTTGGGATTTTCTTTTGTCAAATGTTTTTGTTTATTTTCAAGGGATAGCGGTGATATTATTCCCTCATCAACCCCGGCATCCTCCTCTTTCCCAAATACTCCTAAACTTTATTTTGACACATCTCTTGGTGAATGACCAAGACTGCCCTGAACTTACCCCCTGAACCAGGGGTGTTGTTTGTGTTTACTTAAGGGGCTTTCAGGCGTCGCAGTGACCATTACTAACAAGATTTACTGTTTTTCCCCTCAAACAAAACATTCAGTAATTATTTGGCTATCCTCACGCTCGGCATTAACTCTTCCTTATTATTACATTTTCCCAGTTCTGTCCTTTAGGCTTGCCATTGCAGGCAGGCAGTTCAACCTACCCCCAAATTAATAACTCGCAATATTGAGTGATGGCAGTTTATGATACCAAAACAAAGCTATTAGTACCCCGCAGAATCTCCTGGCTTGTGATTGGAAAGAAGACAGAGACATTGAACCGGACCACGCATACACATTATTCTCAAGATGTTTGTGCATGTTGACTACATTTCTCATTTTACGGCTGATTTGCTACGTGTCTTATTTGTCGTTTATAGCAAATGTCTCCCAATTTCGTTTTGTTTTTGCGGCAAAGATAGAAACAGCATCTGTCCCTGCAAGACGCCTCAACTTGATGGGACAACTTACGGGCAAGAGATAATGATTGTTTCAGACTATGAGCTGTGAGAATATTCCCAGTGATTCCCTGGCACAAGAATTGCTGGAATGTAGACTTCGCTCCAATGCATTCTTTAGTGAACAAGCAAGAAACAATGTGATCGGATACAATCATGCCAGTTTGCTGTACAAAGTGCGGATTGCGACAAACAGTCCGTCCGTCTCAAGAACACGGTAAAGCATCAGCCTTGGGGCGGTACTCCAAGTGACTCCCTAAAAAGACGATGAATATCGAAGCAAAAGCATGAATTTCAATGATACAAAAAGGCAACATGATTTATTCGAAAATGATTTTAAGATACAGGCTTCAGCTGGAAAGTTTCGATCAAGTCAAGACCTTGACTATATCTTGAAATAATATTTTTGGTAAAGGTTAAGAAGAAACAAAAGAGAAAAATGAAAATTCTTACATTAATCCTGTAATACTTGTTCCCAAATAGATGCATTGTTGCGAATATTTTAAACAAGCAGAGTAACTTTTCAACTTTTAGGCTGCCAAAACAACAATGCTCATTACGGTATGGTGTGTACCACAGAGAACAGTGGACAAGCACCCAGTATTTTAGCCCACAGCCAAGCGTTTAGGCAGCATGACTCAGAGCCAGTCTGATTGGTGTCGTTACCGAGGCAGGCAGCCACGTGGAATCTTTCCACATTTTCTCACCCACTCCTTCTCGTTATAAGGATCGCACCTACGGAGACCCAGATTGTCAAGCACCTTGGCTTTCCTCCCCTTTATTGAATTCTTGAGGCTTTTGCCGATCATTATTCACAACACTTGGCTTCAGCCCTTGCCCAGGCATATTGAGAGTACAACAATCCGGCATTAGGGGCCCCCGGCCGGTAATACAGTCTTGCTCGTCCGGGTCAGAAAGAATGACACGGAACAAAAAGTCTTCATGATCAACAATAATAATTAGAAAGAAAGGCACGGAACTCTTCGGTTCCTCACCTAGTCACCCCAATCATCATCAGACCCCAGATACCGACCGCTCCGCCTTGTTTGCATCTCCTACTTTGACAAGTCGGAAAAAATGACAAGCAGCTCAACACCATCCCCACAACAGCAAGGCCTGCTTGGCCTTCCCAACGAAATCCTGATCGACATCTTCAGCTACCTCGATGACCGATCCGTCAAGAAGAGCCTGACAGTCTCGCGGAGATGGCACGAATTCGCCTGGCAGGTCTTCGTCCGAGACCTCGATCTCACAGAGGACAGGCTCGTTCGTCTCACTGGGGCGGGCGGTCCCCTCGAAAAGCTGCAGCCGCACGTCCGCACGGTCAACATCACAATACTGGCCTACGAGCATTACGCCATGTACAGCTCCGTGGGGAACGATATTCCGGGGGTGCTGCGGCTCATAAACAGGTACCACAACCGCCTCAACAGCGCCCTGTCGCTCCTGCTCGCCACTCTGCGCCAGAGCCCCGGACTGAAACGCATCAACCTGAGGACAGTCCCCGTGGTCCAATCAATGCGGCCCAAGTTTTCTAGCAGACTGTCACAGGAGGTCTGGGACACTCACTCGGAGCACCCCCACCCAATGTACGAGTGGGCAGGCTCCCCCAAGCTCCTCTGCCCCGCGAACTTCCCTTCGGAGCAGCTCACCGATCTCACCCTCGACTTTGCCCAAGACTTTGTCGGCTTCAAATCATCTGAATCTGCCGGCAGCGGCGCGGGGCGAGTGCACATCTGCGCCGTCATTGGATCCGAGCTCCTGCCGAACCTGCGCCGCCTGCGCTGCCGGCTCAAGGACATGTGCCGGGCCTTGGTCACCGCGCCCGAGTCTAGCGCCGTCGGACTGGGAGGGAAACCCCTCCCGCTCAAACTCGAGGAGGTGATCATCAACACGGACGTGCCCCTCAACGACTGGTGCATGGGACGGTACAGCGAAATTTCGCGGGAGTTCGTCCAGCCCTGCGGCGTGCGCAAAGTCAACAATGCCGCGCTGGGCGAGCTGCAGGACGAGCTGAGGGCCGGCCTGCGAAACCTGGCTGCGCGGATGAAGAAGCCAAAAATGGTGAGGCTGATATGGAAGTACCCGCACAGCTCAAGGACCGCCGCCTGGGACGCCCTGACGGGGAAATCCATGTGGATTTCGTCCAAGGGTGAATGGGACGTTAAGTTTGGGAGATGGGCAGACTTTGTCGACGTTGATGCACTAGCCAGAATAAATTAAGGGCAGGGCAGGGCAGGTGCTGTACATACGTACGTACATATAGACATACCCCTTTCACAGACAGATAAATACGTAGACACAGTTTACGACCAGGGTTTTTTGTTATAAAAAATAAAAAAATAAAGTAAAATTTTCAAAAAAGAATTCTCGTATACTTAAATCAGACAATTCAATTCACATTATCAAATCTCTTCCATTCAATCATTTGACTTTCTTTTTGACACCTAGGTATGTATATATGTATGTAATCGAGTAACATGTATCTACCTTGATGCTTCATGTTCTCCGTCATCCCCCCCGGTCCCCAATTCCCCAAATCCCCCCCCCCCCAACCAAATCTCCAACTTTCCCCAACCCTCTCCCCCCCTCCCCCATTTTTTCTCTCCCCAAACAGTCCACCACCTATTTTCTTTTATAATTTTGTTTACTGCTTTCCAAGAGACTGCTTAACAAGGTCCAGCAGCACGGGACCAATCTTGGCGGCGAGGAACCTGTCCCCAGAGATGGAAGGGTGGACGCCGTCCCTGAGGTCCGAGGTCTTGTAGCCCGTGTAGCAGTCGTTGACGATGATGGGGCTCTCGGTGCTGTTCAGGCCGGTGGCCCAGGCGGGGATCCTCTGGTTGAGGGCGACGATGCCCGAGTTGCTCATGGAGAGGGGGATGACCAGGTTGACCTTTTTTGGTTTTTTTTTGTTAGCCTTTTTTTTTTTTTTTTTTTTTTTTTTTTTTTTTTCTCAGATATGCTGTAAACAATTTCATTTTTTTTCCTTCCCCAAATATTTCCCAGAGATTCATTATACAATTTTATAACCCAACCCAATCCCGCCGAACTTGTATACTCGAGGCGAATCCCCCTGCACGACCCAAAAGCCAACAAGGAAATAATAAAATAATTATGGGAAAAAAAAAAAAAAAAAAAAAAAAAAAAAAAAAAAAAAAAAAAAAAAAAAACTCACAATAATCTTGGTCTTTGGGTTGGAAGCCCTGATGATGTTAACCATCTTGGTGTAGGCGGCGATGATGTCGTTTGTGCTCTTGCCCCTAAAGACGTCGTTGGTGCCCAGCATGAATGTGACAATGTCGGCGGGCGTCTTTTGCAGCCACCCCGTAAGGTAGCTGTTTGCAATGTCGACGGCGAGCCAGCCCGAGTGGCCCTCGTGGTGCTGATCCCAGTTGGCCGTGGTGGGCTTGCAGTTTTGCGGGTTCGAGTTTTGCGACCCGACGTACTGGACCTGCGAGGCGACGCCGGCCTCGGTCAGCTGGTCCCAGACGAAGGCGCGCCAGCAGGTGATTTCGGTGATTGAGTCGCCCAGGAGCACTGGATTGAAGAGTAAGAATGGTTAATCATCGAGGCTGAAAAAGACGAAACACAGGAAAAAAAAAAAAAAAAAAAAAAAAAAAAGGTACTGGGATCTTGGGGAATTGAAGCTTTGGTTGGGGTTTTGTTGGAGATAACGAGATATGTATCTTGCGGCTTTGAGGGGGGGAAAAAAAAGGGAAAAAAAAAAAAAAAGGTAGGTATAAAAATAAAAAGTTCATGACTTACTAATTTTTAGTTTCTGAGTCTGGCGCTCGGCCAAGGGACCGGCGGCAGCCAACCCGGCCAAGGAGAGGGTGAGGAGGTTGGTGAGTTGCATGGTGAAGTGCGCCTAGGTATTGACCGTTGGGGTTGATCCTGTTTAGATGACTCGAGGAGCAGTTGACTGGTGATGGAAGGATTCGAGTTTCAAAAAAGGGGGAACCATTCACCAGTTCTTATCCTTTTCGATATAGATGCCTAGGTACTTGTACTAGTAATGTAATCAAAGTGGGTAAAGTTAAGTACCAACGGAAAGAAGGAATTGTTTTCATGCGGTGGATTCGAAATGTTCTTCCCTCTGCGCAACGATTTCATCCAGGTCTA